CGGCTCGATCACCATCAAAGACTGGAACATGTTAGACATAGCCAAATTCAAAGAGAGGTTGAAACATACCCATCGCCACCTCTTCGAGTGATGGACCTTTGGTTTCGGGATAGAGAAAATACACAATCGTGGTCTCGCAAGCCAACCAGACCTGATGAAGTGAGCATTCCAATATATTATTTCAGCAATAGAAGAGGTAATTAGACATACCGCGTAGAACAGGTAATATTTCCACTTGAGGCTATCCAGACCGATAGGGTTCACGAAGGTGTTGAATGCGGTGCTGCCTCGGTTGAAGAACTGCAAAATGGCGAGACCCTTTGCACGATAGATGAATGGAAATATTTCGGTGGCATAGATATACATCAGGGGCTGCATGATGTTGAAGAATGCGTTGAAGATGAAAATGAAGGCGATCACAGCCGTCGCAACAGCGTTACCTCCCGTTTTGGCGAACGTGGCGCTGAGAGCCGTTATGATGCTGAAGATGATGGTAATGCTAACGAAGGACGTAAGATATTGGACACGACGCCGAAGCACCATCGTGGCAAATGCCGCGCCGGAAGCAGTAATCAAGGACCAGCACTAGAGAGATATTAGTTCTGTTCCGAGACATGGCCTCGGTTTGTCTTTTGCTTACCGACAGAGACAGGTTGATTATATTCTGTGTTCTTTTATCCTTGATGCCGACTGTTTGCAAGACCTTGGCGAGGTAGTAACTATGAGATCTCATTAGTGAGGGAGTGGGTGTGATAGAAATTGAGGGACTTACGAGATTAACCCATTTCCAGACCACTGTGCAAAGACACCGAGACACATAACGATCAGGACACGCTTTCGATTGCCAGGCGTCTGCAGTAGTTCAACCCATTTTCTCTTCGAGTTCAAACTTTCCAGCCTCAATTGGGTCTGTATCTCAACGAATTCGGCGTTCACGAAAGGGTCATCTCGATTGCCCTCTGCATGGTACTTGACCAAGATTTCAAAAGCTTCGGCATCTCTGTCTTTGGAGATAAGCCAACGAGGTGACTCTGGTACCCACCAGATGAAGACTAGTTGCAGAAGGGAAGGAGCTGCCTGGAGGATGGAAGGAATCCGCCATGACCAGTCATTATGGATTGAATATGTGCCCAAGGTGACGCCAGCAGCTAAGATAGCACCAACGAACCAAGAGACGTTGAAGAGACCTGTGACGACAGCTCGTTCTTTGGGATATGTCAATTCCGCCAGAAGTTGCGCTGCACCGGAGACCGCGAAGGGAATACCAGTACCAAGGAGGAATCGTGAGGCCAAAAACATGCCGTCTAAGAAATGTGTGAGATGGTGGCCAATAGCGCAGCATCAGGCGTGAACGTACAATTTTGAGATGCAGCTTGTACGACAACGCCACAGCAAAGTATAACAGACCCTAAGGTGATACTGTGCTTTCTTCCGAATTTATCGTTGACCCAAGGGACCAGAGGTAGCGTTATCAAACCACCAAGATTGTAGGATGCATTTAAGATCCCCAATCGCGAACCAGTAGGATGTCCGAAATCTGCAGACATTTAAGTACGACCCTGGAGCTACTGCAGCTTGTGAATTACTTACAATCTTGCCAGTGGGACACGGCCTGTAGTCCATTAAGCACAGAGCCATCGTAACCGGTGGTCATTTCGACGCCGAGCGCGGCAGGAACAAGGCAGAAGTACAGAGCTCGGAGGTTTGGCTTTTCGTACCAAGGTTTGGTATCGAGCTGGAGCAAGCGAATGACCTCGGATTGGTCAGTAATGGTCGCAGCATTGAGTTTTTTTTCATCCATGGCGAAAGAAGTTGTGTTGAATGAATGGAGGCTGGGATTGAGATCTTGGTTGGATAACGGAGGTTTATAAACATCAAGCCAACCCCGCAGAAGACCCGACCTCGCTTAGTCTCGCTACGCCCCCGGATTCTGTGGACGCAGGACCACTAGTTGCGGATTGCTCTGCTGTAATGTGGTTCGCTACATTTCCCGCGGATTTTGTGCAATTTATTATCCTGCCAGTCAGGCAACCCCAACAGTCGAGGTAATAGTAAATCCGAGATTCTCATTCCACAATATCAGTACCCACACTCCACGTCCGATTCTCGTATCATCAGTGGGAGAAAAATTACTGGCTGTAGCCAGCCAGCTACGAAGATCTTGGGCCAGCTATGCTTCCCAGTAGTTGGCGACCTCACCACGGAAGTTCTCGACTGCGCCGTCCCAATTTTTAGATGGTATAACCTCTCGCCTTTCATCTGGATAAGGCCAATAGAATGCTCGGATTTGATGAGGCGGCCTCCTCCAAGAGTCACGACATAGACCAACATCTCCACTTCCAGCAATGTTTCCATGCCAAGCTGATACTGCTCCCCATCCCTTCTCCTCTATCAGATGGGTTAGTCCTGCGGGGCGAGAAAAGAGTGGCTTTTCGGAGATGAGACGTTATGGATTTCCACGGCAAACTAGAAGTGAAGTGCACTTTCTTCCTAGCTTCGGCGAAGAGCCGCAATACGTTCTCATGCTCGAGTAGCGACTTGAGTATTAAATGTGCCAGACAAGACATTTCGATTCGATTGCTACTGTTGTGGCGCTATTGACTACGTATTCCTTCCTACTACCTTTCCATAGCGCCACAACTTGAAGCAAGACAAAGAGACTTGCACATACTCGGGCGCGAGGCTTTCGCCTGATCGTATTCATCACCTTGAATTTTTTTTTGGCACATCCTTCTCTCGAGTAGGAAACTCTTCCAGTCCGAAACCCTCTTTCCCGACTGTTTGTGTACTTACGCCTCACTCCCAACCAATCTTGGTCAGTTCGTCTCCGCTTTTATTTGACGGTTGAAGTAATTCTAATGCCCTGTATAGATAATATCATGTCTTCTGAGGCAGTGATGTTCCTCGCTACCGATGTCGTGACAAGTTATAGCAAGTCTACTGGCCACGACCTCCCCGTTGATGAACTAAAGCTCCCCGCTGATTTCAAATGGGGAGTTGCTACAGCAGCATTACAGATTGAGGGTGGTGCAGACCAAGATGGCAAGGGCAAGTCAATCTGGGACACGTTTTCTCACTTGGATCCTTCTCGCACGAATAACGAGAACCCTGACGTCTCATGTAACCACTATAATTTGTGGGAGGAAGACGTTGAACTCCTATCCCATCTTGGCACAGATGTGTACCGATTTTCAATTGCCTGGTCGCGTATCATCCCCTTGGGAGGTCGTGATGATCCCGTCAATGAGAAGGGCATAGACTTCTACAGTAAATTGATTGATAGGCTTTTAGCCAGGAATGTCGAGCCGGTAGTCACTCTCTATCACTGGGATGCCCCTCAAGAACTTTACTCTCGTTACAAAGCATTTCTCAATACAGAGGAGTTTACGGCCGACTTCGAGAATTATGCCAGGTTGGTCTCTTTCATGCTTGGAAATCGAGCACATGGCTTATTCTTGAAATTTTGTCAGATTGTGCTTCTCCAGATTCGGTGATCGGGTCAAGAAATGGATTACCTTCAATGAACCATATATTATCTCCATCTTTGGTCATCACAGTGGTGTCCTAGCCCCAGGCCACAACAAGGAGACCAGGTTCGATACCAAGACAGAGCCTTGGAGAGTCGGCCACACCCTCATCTTATCGCATGCAGCGGCTGTCAAAATATATCACCGAGAGTTTAAACCCACTCAAGGCGGCATCATTACAATCGTTCTCAACGGCCACTTCTACGAACCTTTCGATACAAGCAAGCAAGCTGACATTGATGCAGCTGAGCGTCGACTGATTTTCTATATCGGCTGGTTTGGAGATCCAGTCTTCCTCGCCCAGGACTACCCAGCATGCATGCGAGAACACCTAGGGTCACGACTTCCAGAGTTCACTCAGAAGGATCGCGAGCTCCTCCGTGAGACGGCTCCACTCAACGCATTTTACGGCATGAATCACTACTCGACCAAGTATGCACGCGCACTTCCTGGTGATTCCGCCGAAGATGACTGGACTGGCCATATCGAGGAGACTTCAGAGAACTGCGACGGCATTGAGATTGGTCCGGCGTCGGGTTTCCAATGGCTTCGAGTTGCGCCGGGAGGGTTTCGGAAATTGATGAAATGGGTGTGGAACCGTTACCATCTTCCCATCATCGTCACTGAGAATGGATGTCCGTGTCCGAACGAGGATGATGTAGAGGTTGCAGTCAACGACACATTTCGTCAAAGGTACATTGGATTGTACCTGGATGCTATCTCTCGCGCCATCTATGAAGATCAAGTCCAAGTTCTAGGCTACTACGTTTGGAGCCTGATGGATAATTTTGGTAGTGCCACTTTTTTTTCTCCTGTTTTCTATTTACCTCTCAATGGACATAACTGACAACACTACCAGAATGGTCTGCAGGCTATGCGCCGCGATATGGCATCGTTCACACCGACTATACAACCTCGAAACGCACACCAAAGGGATCGGCTTATTATCTGAAAGACTCCATGGCAAGGCGGAGGAATGTGTCTGCTTAAGCTTTAGCATTGATGTCACTGTCTTGTTTTTAGGTTCTAGCAATAGAGCCAATGTTTCCTCTCCAGCTCCATGACGCACAGTTCATTATTATACAGTATACGCGACATAAAGATCGACTATCTAATTGCAAGGCGGTGTTGGAGACTTCAGACTTCTAAGGTAATAGATATATAAGGGCAATGAACTTGTGAGCGAGCCGAAATAATAATCCAAGACAAATGAAACCCTCGACCTCTGAGCTTACAGCTTCATCCCGTCTTCCACTGTTCCAACTCCGCCTCAGTCAATAAGCAAACCAAAAAAAGAATCAAAAAGGTCAATAAAATTCTCGAGGTCAGTTGGTGCCTTGAAGAAAAGCAAGTTACGTATTGATTCGCCCAAAAAAGACCGACTTAAAAAGAAAGAACTCTCGAACAAGTTCAAAATAAAATTCAGGAACACATGTGCCAAAATGGCCAAAAGGCAAAACACAAAAGTGTAATCGACGAAGGCAGGATTTGAACCTACGCTCCCGAAGGAAATTGATTTAAACAGATACTGAGTATCAAATTCTAGTCAATCGCGTTAACCACTCCGCCACTTCGCCTTGATCACTTGATTTGTGATTGGATGTTCTTATTTAAATATATCAAGCAACTAAGATTTTTCAGGGCGGTGAAGAGATTTTGTCTGTGGAGTTGTGGAGTGGCTGTCCTTAGCGAATCCACTTGCATGCCCCATTTGCTTTACTCGCTTAGCATGTTGGCTTGCCAAGAACCGTAAAGGTGATTTGTTTATTTTGGAGTATTATTTGGAGTAATTGTATCTGATTTCTAATTCTAGTATCCAAAGTCCTCATAAATTACTCTCCTGCCCGCTAGCCAATTCAAAACCGCACTCTTCAGTCTTGGCCCAACGCACATATACCACTCATCTACCCCCGCCACCTCATTAATTCTCGTCACATCACTTTCCAGTACCCTCCTCCTCTCAATCCTGACTCCAGTTTCTGCCACTTCTCTCAAAAAATTCAGTTCCTTCACACCCAAATCCGCGTCTTCACCCGATAAGAACACCGTCATCACTCTAGCAAGCTGAGGGTACCTTTCCAGAGTATCAGCTACAAGCCCGATGTCCTCAGTGCGTATCGCCCACAGCAATCTCAATTGCTTGACATCTATACTATTAACCTGTCCCAGAAAAGGTGTGATACCAATACCACCGGCGATGACAGGAATGATGCCACCAGCTTCCTTCTTCGCGAAGCGGAATTCGCCGCCAAAACCTTTGAGCGGAACCTTGAATCCGCCTCGTAATTTGGCCAGTTGTTGCTGTTCAAAGAGGAAGTTGGTTACGCGCCCTACTTTTCGGATGGTGAGTTCGAACTCATTGTCTGGTGTCTCGCCTGAGGTTGAAGGAGGACTCGACACCGTAAATGTCCGCATAAAATCATCATTCAGTGACTGCGGGTCTTCATCCCGCATATGGCTATATCCTTGATCCAGATAATCCTCAAAAGCTAGCGTAGCATATTGTCCAGGCTTCCATGATGTGATGGAATAAGAGTCTTCAATGCGAAAGCGGAAGCGAGATATTGTTGGTGTGATCTTGGTGGTGCTGAGAAGCGTTGCGTAGTTGAGTTGCTCGGAAGTGACGTCGATATGTGCGATCTTCTCATTGGCTGCGTACCTGACAGGTGGATTGTACGGAGAAAGTTCCTCGGGGATGCCTTTGAATGTGAGACCTTTCTGCACGAAGCGCGCTGCAGTGATTGTGAGTTTCACGGCGAGATTGGACCTCAGGAGGACAGAACTGGCTTCCTTGCCGATCAGAATCTCGGTTTTGCCTGTTAGATATAATACATCTCCAGTGTCGAAATTGGGAACTGTGATGCCGGCCAGTGGATTCATCTTGAGGTTTCCGAGGGTCTCGTACATGCGATTGCCGGAATACTCGGGGTAGACGATCACAGCCCCTGATTCTTCGTTTGAGATGACTCGGACGAATCCAGCAGGTCCGCCGCGATGATTAGTATCTACGTCCTCTGACCCATCAGACGATGACATGAAAAACATATCTGCCTTGTCCAGTAGTGCCAAAGCTTCAGGCGGAAGTTGAGGCGAGTCTGAGATGAGTTTTGGTTCTGGTGTGAAGGGGATGATGCGTTTCGAATTAAGATATTTGGGACAGTTGCCTGTAAAATTTTAGCTTCTGAACAATATCTAAAGAGCTCTTGAGTTTTACATACCAACACTTTTATTAATACTCACAACCAACTGCATTTTCCCAACACTCTTCTCCCCATCCCCATTCCCCTCCATAGCACCAGCAATCATATGCCCATGCAGTTTGACCCTCATCCTACTCTCCAAATCAATCGTCAGACCACCAACCATCCTCCCTTCCCCCTCAGCCTTTACAATCTCGCCCTCATCCGCACCCCCTAGTAACGTCTCGACAACAGGATCAAACCTCCTATCCACCACCGTCTTCACCCCCACCACATTCTTCGCAACCGGTCTCCCAAACCCGGGATCCCCGCCCCAGATAGTCGTCCATGGCCGATCCTGATCATCCAATGTACCGAGCGCTAATAATGGAGCGCCTTGGATCATGTATCCTGCACCGGGAGACAGGAATGGCGAGTTAGGGTTACCTTGGCCGGAGACGTGCATGATTCGGTGCATTTCTTTCTCGCCCTCGTTCCAGGGGAGACTTCGCGAACCGTATGCCATGTTGTATGTGTTTTGTGAGAATTGTGAGGGGAAGGATATGGAGCTGTTGAGGAAAGGGATTGTGGATAGGTATGAGGAGGTCAGGACTTCCATCTTGGAGGGTGGCGATGTGATATATATCAAGTGAGCGAGGAGTATTGGGCCAGAACAGGTAAGTTGTGGTCATAGGACGACGAGGAGGAAATGCATGACAAAGCAAGAGAACATTCTTGCTGCACTTACGCTGGGCAGACTTGTCGTTAATCCAAGCTCAGAATCATGTTCAAACCCCAGCGTTTCCCCGGAGGTGTATGTAAAGGCCATGCTCGTTACGAGGAGTTGCTTGAACCGATGTTAATCAGCATGTGCAGAGGGTAGCGGGATTTGCGGGATTTGGCGGTGGCTGCTTACGGCACACGCCAAGTGACGCAGAGGGATGTGGAATCAGTGAGAGTGGTCCTTGGCGGACTATTTGCTAAATAGCGTTTAAATTTATGCATTGGACAGGGCTGATCTTTGATAATGGGGACAGGGTTCGACTTTAATGCGCTTTCCTCATTGATGTGTTTACGAGCTGGTGATGCTTTTGTTCATGGAGTGGTTTTAGCGGCAGTGTATTTTCGGCACCTTGTTTGCAAACACAAGAATAAGCCATTCGATCAATGTCATGAATTCAAAGCCAATGAAACTACTGCCGCAGGCTCATTTTTGTTCCTAACCTTGTTTGCTTCTTCCCCTCCACACCTCGCTTAACTCTACTGAAAGAGGTTCATCCGATCCTGGTTGCCACCTGCCAGAAGGATACCAAAGAGCACAGATAACAACAGCCGAACAGTATCAAAAACAGTATCGGATATCCAAGCAACTTCTGTCAATAATGAATTCCGCAACTCGCTCAATCACCACCATCCCTCTCCGCCTCCTGTCCAATCGCATCCCTCTCCTTATCCTCCCAAACCACCCTCTCAACACTCTCCTTTACCAATTCCCCCAACTCCCCCACCCTCCCCCTCAACCCCTTAACAAGCTTCCTCAATTCCCCAATCACCAACCACCATCCCTTCACTTCCCCACCCTCAATTTCTCCCTTAAACTTCCCCATAAACCCTTCCAACTCGTCATACAGCACAAACAGATGCTCTTTTGCCAATTTAACCTGATTGTTATACCTTTTCTTGATCTCTTCCAGGCCCTTGGGAAGGTACAGATCTGTTTGGTGAGATCGGGAATGGGACTTCAGAGGATTCCACGATCGTGTTCTATGACGGCCACTGGCTCTCACAAGCCCATTGAATCTCTTCTCCAGCTTTCCCAGCGTATCATTCAGCACCCTCTTCTCGCGGTCCAGTTTCTTCTTAACGTTCTCTACGCCCTCGAAATAAACATGTAACAACCGTTTCGCCTCTTGCTTGCCGCTTTCCATAGCTCCATCTCCGCTTGCATGACTATCAGCGCCGAAAATCCAGTACACCGGTCTCAAGACTCTGATCCCTTTCCAGAACTTCACAAAAGCGACATGTCTCAGATCTACTACTAACTTCTCTGTTTTGACAAGCACTTCATCTACAGCTGCACCGGCATGGTCGGTTGCTTTCTGGTAGTATTTCTCTGTGGCGTTGAGGTTCTTCTCGAAGGACTGGAGTTTGGTTTCGAAGTTGTGGGTGGTGGTAGGAAAGAGATGGGAGGGAGGAGGGACATTGATATTGAGGCCGGGGATATGGAGCCCCGGCGAGTTCGATAGTGAGGGTTGGTGGGGATGGTGATGGAGGTTGTGGTTGGAATTAGGGAAGGCGTATCGCCAAACGATGGGCGTGACGAACATGAGGAGTGAGTAGAGGGAGACCCAGAGTGTGGTGACGAGGAGCGCTGTCAGACCTATCTTCATCCAGCTCTGAGTCTTCTTGCTCAACTCCGGGATGTCGAGCTTGAGAGAGGGTTCATCAATATCAGGAAGTAGCTTCTTCATCCATCTCCTCACAGCCCCCTTGACAACTTCAAACCCTTCAACACCCAACCCATCAGTTGTATGAACAGCTTGCCCATCAACCAGTTCTACATTCTTCCTCAAAAAGGGATAGTATTTAGCCAATCCTTTAAACGTCCTCTCAAGTAAAATACGGAGAAGTGTGTTTTCGCTACGCATTCGCATACTATGGAGGAATGTATTTCCGTGTTTGTAGGTGAGGAACTCGTTTCTCCATTTCAGAATATCGAGATGCAGGTTTGCAATCACGGTTGCTGTGATGTGAGATGGTGGGTTATTGGCTACATATACGTCGACGTATGCTTGGCACGCTTTGTAGACGTGGACAAGCTCGCGAGAGAGACCGGCTTGTGGAGGAGGAGGCTCTAGTGGTGTTTGGGGTATGGGTGTCCTTGGTGAGTTGGGGGACGTAGGTTGGTGTGGTGTGGAGGGTGTCAGGAGGGAGGCAGAGTGTCGCATGGAACTGAGATATTGGATAACGGCATCGAAGTCAGCCTCAGAGTCGGAGTCTGCCTTGAGGATTGGACTTGGCGAGTAGTACACATATGGTCTGATGTAAGTTTCGGCAGCATCGATAACGTCCATTACTGATGAGGACATATAATACTATTTCTCGCTGTTAGCCTATAATTCATTTGGAGTTGGAGCCCTGTCCGGACATACTGTTGAAGTTTGTTTGCCCTTAGTACATGGCGGGACTGTTACGTTGCGCGGACGCCTCTTCTCTCGTCCCTCTGCCTTACCCTCTCCATCCTCTCTCGTTTCGTGCTTGGGTACTTTCACTTCAATTTTTACTCCTGCTTCTGGCTTGACGCTTGGCCGGGGGACGGTTTCCTCCAACTTCTCTGTCTCGTGCTCTGGCAGTCCCATTTGAATTTTTACTTCTGCTCTGGTCTTGACATCCACTTC